GTGAGCGGGAACCGGTCTGTATGTGGGATCCGAACCCTCGGCGGGAGCGCCACGGCACTCCGAAGCGGCGCATTGCAGCAGTGCGCCACCGGGCCGGCCCGGAGAAATGCTTTTTCTGCATCTATTGAGATGATCATGTGGGGTTTTTTCCCTTGTTCTATTAAGTTGGTGTGTTACATTTATTTTTTTCATATTGAACCATCCTTGCATTCTTGGGATAAATTTCACTTGGTCATGGTGTATAATTCTTTTTATAAGTTTCTGGATTCAGTTTACTACTATTTTGTTGAGGATTTTTGTGTCCATAGTCATAATAGATATTGGCCTGTGGCTCTCTTGTGATGTCTTTGTGTGGTTTGGGTGTCAGGCCTCATGAAATGAGCTGGAAGTATTCCTTCCTCTTCCATTTGTTTTTTGTTTGTTTGGTTGGTTTTTTTGGGGGGGCGGGGGAGTTTGAAGAGTTGGTGTTAATTCTCTAAATGTTTGGTAGGATTTAATGTTAAAGCCATCTGAGTCTGGACTTTATGGGTAGTTTTTTGATTACTAATTCAATCTCTCTTCCTGTTAGAGATCTATTCAGATTGTCTATTTCTTCTTGAGTGAGTTTCAGTGGTTTGTGTCTTTCCAGGAATTCGTCCGTTTTATCGAAGTTCGAGGTTTTTTGGCCTAAGCAATTCTAAGGACTGAGTTATCCTTAACCAAATTAGGAAAGGCCAGGGCAGGGCAGTGGGGCTCAGGGGAAGATTAGTAGTTTGGGGGTGACTTTGGACATGTTAAATTTGAGATGCCTGCTGGGCCCCCAGATGGAAACGCTGGGTGGGCAGTTGGATAGCCACCTCACAGAGGTGGCCCAGGTGGGTGATATGAAGCTGGGCATTGTTGCTGCAGACAGAGCATTTACATCTGTGAAGCACAAGAGTCACTCAGGGAGCCATTGCTAAGGCAGAGGGGATGCCCAAGCATGAACTAGAAGTCACAAATGGGGAGGAGCCAGCCTGAAAGGTGAGAGGGTGTCAGGACCCTCACAGACCCTTTAAACCTGTTGTGCAGGTCAGGTCACAGACCCCCGATATGCAGGTCATGAGCTGGGTAATTGGAGAGAGATCCTGGAAGCCATTGGCAAGGTTGATATGCTCCATTTAGATGCAAGCTCAGCCCCCAGCCTCCTCAGCAGCAGCCTGGTGGCCTGCTGGGGAGGGGGGGAGTCCTGGGGGCACTGTGGATCAGAGCCGTTCCTCCTTTATACTTAAGTTAGCCAACCCAGGGATATCTGAGTATGAGTCAGATAACCAAGGAACATCTGGGTGCACGTGCACAATTACATCAGACAATAGCCAAGAAATAACTGGGCACACGTGCGCAGTTAACGTGTTTACGGTAAACAGGTTAGGTAATGCTCAGCAAGACTCCAAACAGCTGAGGGAGCCTGAGCATTTGTCCGTTTTCCTTACAGAGGGCCTGGAGAGGGAGTTTCCAGTTTGTGATCTGCTGAGGGTGGAGGGAGATGGTACAGGAGCTGGCAGATGGATTTAGTGATGGAGTATCCCTTGCAAGCAGGTTTTGTGGGATGCAGGGACAGAGGAGGACAAGAGTTCTGTTGATGAGTATTTGCATTCCTTCCAGGAGTTTTGCTGTAAAGGAAAGCAGAGAAATGGAGCTATAGATGAGGGGAAGCATGGGGTGCAGAGAGGTGTTTTGTTTTTAATGGGAGGAACTGCAGCACATCAATGCCCATTGGAATGATGCGGTAAAGGGAAAATCTGGTGGTGCCAAAGAGGGAAGGGAGTCGCTGGAGCCCAGCAGGGAGACCCTTTGTTAGGAAGATGGTCAGGGCCCTGCAGATGTTCAGAATCTAGCCAAGCATTTGATGTAAATAGGCACGTGCACTCAGGTGTTCCTTAGTTATTGTCTAGTGTAATTGCGCATGTGCACCCAGGTGTCCTGGGTTATGACTTAAACATAAAGAATGAGTGGCTCTGGCCCATGGTGCCTCCCTCCCCTCCGGGATGCCCCTGGGGGGTGAGGGGGGGGGGCCATAGTGAGGCCGCTACTGCTGCTAGTGCCCCTGGGACCCTCCACAAGGCTACCACCGGACCTGTAAGCTGCTGCTGTTGAGGAAGCTGAGGACTGAGCTCGTGTCGTCTGCCAACAACTCCCCGAATCTTTCCCAATTACCTAGCATGGATCTGCTTGTGAAGGGTCTGGGGACCTAGTCTGTACAATGGGTTTGAAGGGTCTGTGCTCTAGCTCTGACAATGTAAATGGAAACTTAGTATAACTAAAATAATAACTGGTGCCTCACTCCCCTCCGGGATGCCCCTGGGGGGGGGGGGGGGGGGGCCATAGTGAGGCCGCTACTGCTGCTAGTGCCCCTGGGACCCTCCACAAGGCTACCACCGGA